CCCCCCCCCCCTTTGTCTTCGCGCAGTCAGACCGCTGTAAGACATGTTTTAACTCTTTAGGAACAAAGCGAACATACTAATAATATGTTATGTCCAATCAGCAGTAGACCAGAGGCAATGTTGCAGCACATGCCGAACCTAAAAGAACCAAAAATTCCAAATTGTACAATATATTTACATAATATCAATGTTGTTGGTTGCCTTTTAAAATTCCAGACAGAGAAATCAGGAAATTATAAGTGTGCATGGATAACAAAGTTACGCTTCTTTTCCAAAACGCCCCCAAAACAGCACACGCTCAGTGAATTAATCCTACTGTAGTGTGACCACCAAGCTGTTCCTGGATAAAATTTCTCACCTCTAGAAGCTCAGCGATGGGGTCAGTCGGATACATCGTGATCCAGATACACACCCCGAAGGCAACAAAGGTGTTGATCAGAAGCCACCCTGAAAACCGTCACGAAGGGAGGAAAAAAGGAGAGAGAAAAAAGTACTGTGGCTGGTGTTGTTGTAAATTCATGTTCATTGTTATTGTCACTAAAATGGCATCGATTGCATAGTGATTAGTAAAGGTGGGCAGAATCCGGATAAATATCCGAATAATAGGATAATCCTCAATAAGACATTATCCGAATTCAGACTCTTAACTCTCTTTCCTGACCCGTTTGCCGAAGTTGGTGCACCCATTCGTTGAAGTGATGCTAACCCATTTGTCAAAGTGGTTCTAACCTATTTGCCGAATCGGTTCATAACATATTGTTTACCGAAGCGGTGCACTAACATATTATCCGGATTTTGCTAAAACGACTCATTGCCCAGCCCTAGTGAATAGGTTACCGGACTGTTTGTCGTGAGGTTGCAGGTACAACAGTTCGAGGCCCAGCTCAGTCCGACCTTGGGAAAAACACTTTTTTTAGTAAGAGTTTTACGCCTCTTACACAACACAAGTAACTATTATAAGTGCCGAAGATTAGAGGTGTTACGAGAGAGTAACAAAAACAAACAAAAAATAAATAGGAGAGATAAGGACGATAGATGTCTGATATGGCAGAAGGAGAAGGCCATTCCAAAGCACTCGCCACCCACCCACTGGTGTTGTTAATTTCAACTCTAGTCGAAAACAAGAGAAACATATCAATCATAGTTTGTAGTTTGGATATTTCGATATAAATAAGTCATCCGATGCAGGAATAAAGGCAGACAGACAGAAACATCAGAGGGATAGATTAAACGTTTTACCTACAAGTGGAGCCCTCTAACCATCAACGTTTCCAAATTCTGAAGTAAATCTGCAGAATCATCAAAAATGTCTTCAAAAGCTAAAATAGCAGGGAAGACGGAGAAGGCAAGGAACTGGCAAGATCACAGCGGAAGGGGTGGATGAACCTACCCTTCATTATCGTTGATGTTGAAAAGAGATGAGGAGCTGAAAATGGGGTGGGGGCGTGGGGGTGCAGGAGGAGGAGGAGGGGGCGGGGACGGGTCAAGACAAGAGGGGGACAAAGGGGAAAAAGGGGGTGGGTACAAGGAGCCTTCGGGGCAGAGGATAAGGTGGGGGGGGGGACAGAAATAGCAAATCCAACACCAACTTATCACTAGCTTCTTTAACAAAAAAAGGTGATCACTAAGATAGCGTCAGCAGCCAAAAGGTTAGGCTACCAAACTCGTAATCGTAACGTTGTAGGTCCATGGATTCAAGGCCCCTTGGGACTTCATGTCCTTCAAACTTCACATGAATTTCCCCGAACTTCGGACGTCCCGCTTTTTAAACAGCTTTCGAGTGTTGCAAGGGGCGTTCAGCCAAAAACAATTTTCTTCGGAATTTTTGTGGGGGGTTTTTGTTTGGGAGTTTCTTTGTTTGGTTTGGTTTTGTTCGGGGTTGGGGATGTTTGCTTTTCACTCACAGTTGGTGTAGATCCTATCCCGGAATGGCGCGCCCTTGGAGAAGGTGAGAGCGAGCACACAGTACTGGTAGGCAGAGATGAGGAACACAGCTGCGTTCTCGTGGCACTGGTAGTCGTCATCCTCGTTCTCCACGAACGGTTCGAACCTGGGGCATCAACAGTTGGAGGAAAATAAAATGAAACCTCCCCACTTCCCCCCCAATCTTTCCAACACACACACACATACAATCTTACTTACGGGGGCGCGTACTCACGCACGCACGCAC